GTTTCTAATTTCCCAACCTGATTGCAGAGTGAATTCAGCAAGTGAGGCTGGATGAACACCACTCTTTTCAAGGGCAATGCCCTGGGTCTTGAAGGTACTCTGGTGGCATAGTGGGTTGCATCCTGGGCTGCTAACCACAAGGTCAGCAGTTCGAATCTAACAGCTACCCTGCAGGAGATAAATGAGACTTTCTGCTTTTGTAAAGATTTACAGCCTTAAAAGCCCTATACAAAGTCTCTGTGACTTAGTGGCACACAGCAGCAGTAGCCCTAAGCCTCGAGCCCTGTGCTGCCTGAGCGGAGATCCCTGCTCTGTGTGGGTGCCTGCAGTGAAAAAATGGCAGAAACTAGCAGAATGTGAGCCCTCTGACCCCAACTCTGGGTATAGCCTTGCTCTTAGAGTCTGAGGGACTCAGCTCTCACTATAAAGTTGAGTGTGTGTTGGTGACATGGAGCTGTTGTTGCTCTCAGTCTGCTGGGATGCAGTTTCCTTCCTTGGCTTCTCATTGGGTTGTAAACTGAGCCCCCTACAATTCACCCCCCACTGGACCTTGCAAGGGGAAAAAAAAGCAGCACATCCATCTCTTTTCCCCAGGATTGACACACCATGTTTTTACTGGGAAGGTAGCAGAGTTCAGGTGCAAGCTGGGCTTTCACATTTCTCTCCCTGCAGCCTGCTCTGGGCTCCTGCTGTGTGAGAACTCATAGGCTAGGACTGCCGGCCTGCCGGCCTCCTCTGTCCCTGAGCAGCCTGGAGGAGGAGAGACTGCCTGCTGAGTTCCTCCAGGCTCTGGTGGAGGGACTCTTATAATTCTCACAACCACTCATAGATAAAATTCATTTTAGATGGGGAATCTGAAGTTCAGAGAAGGTAAGTTGGCAGTTAAATCAAGATCTGCCTGATTCAAAGTCCTTTGTTCTTTTTTCACTTTACCAACTCTTGGTGACTCAAGAGTTATCATCTATGCCTTTACCTGGCTTTGCCGTAAGAATTTCAGCAGTTTTGCCCTGAAGTAATGCTGTTAGGGCGTCCTGGTGTGGCGCTGTGGGTTAATGCCCTAGACTGCAAGGTCTGTTTGAACTGTAAGGTCAGCGGTTCAAGCTCACCAGCAGCTCCTCGGAAACCCTATACAGAATCACTATGAGTCCAAACCGACTTGATGGCACTTAACAACAAAACAATGCTGTTAGGTTAGCACTAGACTGTTAACGTCAAGGTTAGTGGTTCAAACCAGTCAGCTACTCCTTGAAAACCCCTGTGTAGGGTCACTATGATTCGGAACCGACTCAGCAGTACTTAGCAACATCAGCTATATTTAAACTAGAGGGAGCCCACTGTGTGTTCTTGGTGTTTTTCTTTTATGATGGAAGATTCAAGAAGCAAACATACATGAGAAGCGGTGTTCCCTCTCGGGGTTTTATGCCAAGAGATCGTAGAGGAGGGCACTGTTTTACTCAGTGCCAGTTGTATGGCTTTAGATGTAATTAGACGGAGGTAGCTTGGAGCAGGGCCCTTCTTGGTCTCCATCTAGGTGACTACCTGGCCCGCCTCCACCTAACATCTCTCTGAATACTCCTCTCCCATTAAAAACCATTCAGAAAGACTGAAACATCAAATATAAAGTTTAGTGGGTGAGAGAAAATTCAGGAAGAGCAGTGGGCAGAGCCCTGAGTTCTGAAATCCCAGTATGGGAGTTGAGGGTACATTCTTAGAGCTGTTTAGGCAGAGCCATAGCCAAGACTAAGGACCTCTTCTTGCCCCACAGCAACATTTGTTGAGGGTCAGTGCCCACATTAATCCACTGCTCCTCCCTGCAGGCCCTAAGTATTTTGGGGACTTAGGACAAGAGACAGATCATCACTCCCATCTTGCCCCTGTGGAAATCTAACCCTGGCCAGGCTCTGGTTGGGCCTGGGTCTTTGCCCTCCCTGTCCCCCCCCCCCCCCTTGATTTCTAGACCCTGATGCACTTAGATGTCTTTTGAATATACTGGGGATTGAGGGCTCTCAGCCTGTGGTTTGCTGGATCTTTGGCCTGGAGACCTACCAACTGGCCACTGTCCTTCAGGACTGCCTGTTGATTGCTGTTTAGAGCTGAAGACAGACTGGTTTTCTCTGGCTCTAGTAGTGTGCCCTGGGGAGCCCCTCCAAGGAACCTTGTCTTGAGGGGGCCTGGACTACTTGGCTTCCTAGAGAGGAGGAGGAGAGCAGTGCTGAGAGAACCCAGTTGTGCGCTGTCTCTTGGCAGTGGTAGAAAGTTCCTGGTTCAGCTCCTGTATAAGTGGGAGGATAGCAGGAGGAAAGCGTACTGCATTCCTGGAATCTTCTCTACCTGGCTGGGTCACCCCCTTTAGGTTGAAGTGCCTTGGAAGACTTGGAGCCCCCTCCAACCAGCCCTACCTCAGGGAAAAGCTACTGCTGAGGTTCTCACAGGTATGCCTTCAAAGCATGACTCACAAACGCTTTCCACAGATTGAGTGCAGTGAGAGGCAGGCAGTGGAGACCCCATCAGAGACCTCAAGGGCTGTGAGTGACGTCGCTGCCTTAGGCACCACATGAAAGCTAGGAGTTATTTTGCAATGTGCTTTTGCCAGCCCTGGGTTTTTTTTAGCAGGTGACTAGGGATTTAGCAGATTTGAGGGAGGCTCCAAGAGGCTCTTAAGATTGATTCAGAAGTATGACTCGCACCCTATGATTTAGAGGCTTCCTAGGATCGACCGCCCCCTGTGTGTCCCTGAGGGACTGGACGGCTGGATGAGAGGTTGAAGAGCAGAATACTCTTCAGGAAAACACATTTCCAGGTTCAGGGTACAGGCTCCTGAAAAGCAAAGGTGTGCCGTCAAGCTTTCTGACTTCTTCCTGCTTGGGATTTTGTGTGTATTGGAAGAGAAAGACATTGAATGGAAGACAGGTTTCCCAGGATCCTGGGACCATCCACCACCAAGCTCTTGCTCAGAGCTCTGTCACAGGCCAGCCTCAGTCACTCCCTGTGTGCATTCTCTTTCTGCCCCCTCTTGCTCTGCACTTGGTGTACATGTCCTCTAAGGACACAAGCCCAGGTGACTTCAGCCTTGGCCATCAGTCATTCCCAGGCTTGGCACCTCTGGTAACCTGGGGCCTTCAGGACCCAGCTCAGCTTTGTGGTCTATAAGCACGGATACTCACTCGCATCCTAGGCCCTCTTGAGGGGTGGGGAAGGGCAGAACCCAGGCTTTCTTAGAAAAAAGCAGATGTTCTTCTGCCACTCCTCATTGCCTGCTCCTCCACCTCCTGCTCTGTGATGCTTTGAGAGTGAAAGGAAGGAGGGTGTTGCTCATGAGTAAACGGAAGCAAGGGTCTTAGGAGCCTAGCAGAATGCCTGAGATTCTTTAGGAGCTCTCCTTATGTGCCTCAGGAATGAATGGGTTTGTCTTCTGTGACTTTGTGTCTCTGGGCAGTGGCAGGTTCCCGCACGCATGTGTCCAGAGCTATACCTGGCAGGCTGCCTCCCCTTTCCAGTTTTCCAAGTCTTTTCTCAGGGGTGAGGGTCGCCCACGCTGCCCTCAACCTGGCTTTCTGAGCATGATTACTCTTTCTTGGTTGGTGCAGCTTGTTCCAGGAGAGAAGGTGCCTAGTGACCACGGCCATAAGCCCAAGGCCAGAGGAGCTGGTTTGGAAGGAGCCTTTAGGCATGGGACTTTCAGGGTTAAATCCCAGCCCAACAGAGACTTCTCCCAGCTCCTCAAGTAGAGCCAGTGTGAATAACAAAAGCAGTGGGAAATTCAGCTTTCAACCAAGGCCTGCTGGATGGGGAGGGGGTCACAAGGGTGCCTGGTGAGGGACAGAGCCTTGTCTGGCACTTTACTTGTTTGGGCTGGGGAATATATAGCGAGTAAACAGCTGAATAGTCTGATATCTGAATTGCCCTGGCCTGCCTTCTCCCTCAGGTCCCTGGCTCGGACTAGGTATATGTTGAGGAGTATTTAACTGAGCAAAAGTTTGGGGATAGTGTATGGTTGTAGGCATTTTCAATCAATGGCCCTGGCCTCTAGGCTTTTTGTAACTCTCCCCATTTCCTCCTTTTACCTTCTGCATCTTGCTTACCAGGAGGGAGACATGAGCTAGGAGGGACCAATGAGACCCTGCTATTGTTCTCCCGTTGACAGTTTCTTCTCCCAGCTCTTTGTGGCTGAGGAACTTAAAACTATACTACAGGCCCAGTGCATGATTTCATGGATCTCCTAACTCCCAGGAGGGTGCTAGTCCCAGACTTCCTGATACCCCTTTCCCAGACACTGGTACTACCTGGGTTGTCCTTCCCTAGAGTCACAGAGACACTATGATTGCCATTGGGCTGGTTGAACCTGCCGCTGAGGCCAGGTCTCCAACCTTCATGGATCTTTTTCAGCAAGGCCCAGGCTAGGGCTGCCAGACTTTGTGCTGAGTCCTCAGCAGATGGGCATGGTCTTTTCCTCATCCCAGTTGGTGCAGGTTCCCCATCTCATATCTTGGCTCTTCTTCTTTTCATCCTGTGGCCCAGCCCAGGTTGAAGAAGGACTGGTAATGCTTTTAGAATAGATGGGTTCCTACTCCTGAAACTCTCTTCCTGGCTTGGTATCTTCAGAACGGCCTCTTGTCCTGTAATGATGATTAGTGGGAGAAGAAGGGAGTAAAGAAAATAGAGTTCTGTCTACATCTCCTTCTGTCTTCTAAGCCTGGGTTTTGCATTGCTGTGTTGGCTCTCCAGCAGCTCAGTACCAAGAATGATGCTAAACTAAAAGTTGGATGGGAGAACCAATCCTTGATAACTTCTGGTAGCCAGACCCTGCTGGGCCTTCACACACTGACAGAGGGACCCAGCGGGAAGCCTAACTGGAAATGGAGTTGGAGCTAGGCTGAGCTACTGCAGATGGAATGAAAGGGGCTACAGCAGGGCAGAAAGCTGGCAGAACAGAACAGGCTGAGGGATATGGGAGACGCCACTTATTGCTTGCCTTCTGCCCTACAGATTGGAGGTACTCCATGACACACACTCGGAGGAAGTCCCTTCCCATGCTGAATTCGGGCCCCACCGGCCACCGGGAGCCCTTGCCAATGGAAGGCAGCAATGTACAACAAGGGGCAGAGGGCATGGAGCCAGGCATGCCTGAGAGCCCAGGACACCTCCCAGGACGCCGCAAGAACTACCCACTGCGTAAGCGCCCATTAGTTCCTGAGAAGCCCAAGGCCTGCAAAGTGCTACTTACCCGCCTGGAGAGTGTGGCTGGTCCACGGAGTGCAGATGAAGCCGATGAGCTGCCCCCTGACCTACCCAAGCCCCCCAGCCCAGCCCCATCCAGCGAGGACAGTGGCCTCGCCCAGCCCCGCAAGCGACGTCTGGCCTCCCTCAATGCTGAAGCCCTCAATAACTTACTGCTGGAGCGAGAGGACACCAGCAGCCTGGCTGGTACCCGCCGCAGCCGAGGGGGAGATCCCCACCGCAGCCGGGACCGCGACCGGACCACTGGAGGCTGGTCCTCCTCCAAGAAGCGGCCACGGTTGGGCGACCTCGGAGGAGGAAGCCGAGACCTGTCCCCAGAGCCAGCACCAGATGAAGGTGCACGTCGGGATAGTGACCCAGCTCCCAAGAGACTGGCCAGCCTGAATGCAGTTGCCTTCCTGAAATTGAGCCAGGAGCGAGAGCTACCCCTGCGCCCACCTCGTGCCCACCCAGAAGCAGATGGGCGCTCCACTGAATCACTGGCACCCAAGGCTCTGAGACCAAAGTGGGCCAAGGTCAACAATGGCAAGAACTATCCCAAGGCCCGCCAGGGCCCAGGTTCTGGAGAATCTGCAGGCCCACCTGGCTGGCAAGAGTGCCCTGAGGGGCCATGGCCATCTGCCACCCCTCATGGGCCATCTGTTCAACCCCTGAGCAAGGTCCTGGAGAGCCCCTTGGGGCTGCGCCCCCGCCTGCCCCTGCTGATGGGTGGACAGGCAGCTCTGAAGCCAGAGCCTGGGCGCCCAGGTGAAGAGTCACCTGCCCCCAAGCAGGAACTGCACCAGCCTTCTTTCCCTGCACCCCAGTTGTCCCCCCTACCTATGCCTGGCAACCCCGCTGACTACAGTGGTGTGTGTGGCGGACCTGAGCTCACTGCACTAGGTAGCTTCTACCTATACTGTGGCCAAGATGGGCTGCAATGTGGGGGCTACTCCCCCTACCCCATGTTGCCTGAGGGCAAGCTGTCCTCAGTGGCTGCACAAAATGAGGGGGTCCTCTTGACCCCAAGCTCAGTACCTGTGGGCACCCCTTTCCAACACCCTCCCTGGGGCTCCTCTCGCTACTGCTCCAGCGAGGACACTGGAGCGAATGGCTACAGCCTCTGTGGAGTGCTGCCCCTGTCCCTCACCCACGTTGGCACTACCTGTGGTGGCTTTTCCTACAAAATGCCTTTTGCAGCAGGTAAGTCTTCCTGGGGTGTGGGATGTGCCAGGTAGTCTCTGAGATGACATGGTTTCCCAGGAAGATAGGTAGGGGGTCTTTGCAGTCTAGCATGGGAGTTGGGGGACTCTTCTGGGGAGAAATCCCCTAGTCTGTGCCCTGAGCTTAGGTGCATTCCCAGGAAAAAGAACCCGTGTTTAGCTCTGATCAGCCCAGCTCTACACAGGCTGTTTTCTGGAGATTTCTTGGCCAGGCAGTAAAGTAACACTGTGGTGGTGGTGGTGGTGGTGGCAGGAGCTGGGAGGACCTCTCCTTCCTCTACATTTGGGTTCTCATTCTTAGACTGAGTAGTGAGTTAGATGTTGAAATCAGGGATTTTGGACAAGTTCCCTGTTATTCCCTTTGCCCTCCTTGAACAAATCTAGAATTCCGTACTTTCCAGGAACCCAGACCATCTGCATGCCGGCCAAGGTCAGCATTCATGAGTAGGGTGGCAGGTACCAGGTATCAGTAGACTGTCAGCAGAGGTAGGGCAGCTTCACCCTGGTTGACAGACTCTGAAAGAGGAGTATCTAGACTTGGCATCACCTTGCTAAGGTTGAATGTCTTTAGTGTCGACCTTCCTATTGAGACCTAGACACTTCTAAGAGGCTTTCCCCAGCTGATGCGACACCCCCACAGTCATATCTTACTCCAGTATCCTCACCTGCCCCACCTAGCACCCTCCATGGATCCTGGGTAGAAATAAGGTGACCAGAGCCACTCTGGCCAGAGTGGCCAACAATTCAGCCTGCTGTTGAGGAGGCTAAGTGGCCGGGCCTTTCCAGGGCTGTCTCCTATCCACACCCCTTCTTGATGGAGTCTATAAAACAACTTTATAGACCAGTTGACTCTGGCCAGACAGGTTGTTTCAGGTTCTGGTGTAAGTTGGAGCTCCAAGAAATGAGAACTGTCTTCTTTTTAGGCTTTTCTTCATTTGTAGCAATCTCCAAGTCTAGACTCCTAACCCATAGGACCCAAGACCCTTACTCCCTCACTGTAATAATAATGACAGTACTAAGCACTTTGTATTGGGCACTGTTTTAAGTGCATTACTTATGGGGAAGATGTGGCATGTGATTGAATACTCAGGAGTCAGACTGCTGGGGGTAAAGTCTTAGTTCTCTTACTTCCTTACCCATGTGACCTTTAATATTTGGGTAATTGTAGTATCAATCTCATAGAGTTATTGCAAGGATGAAGTTAATATAAAGGGGCTTCAAAAAGTGGAAAAACTCCACTGTCTTTCAATTCCGTTGTCCATGAATGTTTTGAAGCTCCTTTGTATAATGATAAGAAACACACCTAGTAAACACTATATGCTATTTGTAGCTACTAGCCTGGTAATTGAAAGGTATGTGGTTTAAACCCACCAGCCGCTCATGAAGCCCTATACAGGGTGGCTGTGAGCCGGAACTGACTCAACAGCACTTAACAACAACAACTAATACTGCTAGGCCTTTTGAGCTATAAAGTGACTTGCCTAAAGTCACACAGCTAGTAGGTGGCTGGTCTAGGAGTTATATACCAAGCTGTCTTGACTTCAGAACCCTTGCTCCTAAGCATTGTGGATGCCTTAAGAGAAGTTGCTGTCAGAGCTAAAGAAGCTGTTCCCGCTTTCCCTTCTTTCATGCTGGAAGGGAGACAAGGATGTCTGTGGGCCCACCTCCAAGGTCAAAGAATATCCCTGCCCCTTGAGGGGATATTCTGCCATCTCACAGTTAGATTTACATTAGAATTATGACAGCAGGCTCTGGAAGCAGGTGGACGAGGGGGCTGCTACTTGTCTTCACCTGCCTTACCTGACCCACTTTCTCCTTTCCCAGAAGGCTGCAGGTCCCTGGGCCAGCTGGAATTTCCTCTACTCGAAGCTGGCCACCCAGCCTCACCTGCTCACCCCCTCTTGGGGTGTCCTGTGCCCAGTGTGCCACCTGCAGCAGAGCCTGTCCCCCATCTTCAGACACCCACCTCAGAACCCCAGACAGTAGCCCGCGCGTGCCCTCAGAGCGCCAAGCCCCCCAGTGGTTCCAAGTCTGGTCTGCGCACGGGCACTGGATGCAGACACACTGTGAGGAGCAAGACTGCCCGTAGGCCCAGCCATCCCAAGCAGTCACGTGTTCAGCGCCCACGTCCACGCCGGCGCCGGCGCCGCCGTACTAATGGCTGGGTGCCTGTTGGGGCTGCCTGTGAGAAGGCTGTCTATGTTTTGGTGAGTGCCAACTCTTCATGCTGGGGAGAGGGAGGGTGGCAGTGGGCACACAGGACCTGCAGTCACTTGGGTCCCAGGAGCCCCTCAGCCCGAACTACCCTGGGAAGTGACAAGGGCCTTCAGCTCACTTGTATCCTGGGAACCAGTGGTGCTGACCCAGCCTATTCCCTCACCTGTAGTGATCCTGTACTGGTCCACCCTGGGGAGGTCAGGGCACACAGTCACTCACAGCTAGAGGCTGTAGTCTTTTTCACTAACTCTTGGGATGGCCATGTGAAGAGTCTTCACCTCATTTCTGCTCACTCTGCCATTTCCATCATGGGTTATAAACTAGATTATTCCTGTAGGCTTTTTTGATAGGAGATATGGGGGAATAGAAGAATTAGTGATACAGGCACCTCTGGGATAATGTAAAGCTTAAACGTATTGGTCACTTCATAGGTGTCACTGAGCTAATAAGTACTTTGCATGCATTATTCTCTTTAATCTTTACCACTTCCCTATGAGGTAGATGCCCCAGGTTCTTATAATTGTTCTCATTTTCCAGATGAGGAAACTGAGGCTTAGCAGTACATTGCATAATGGTAATTTACGAGTTCAGATGTAGACTATCCCACTAGGAAGTCTGTATACTCTACTGGGGTACTTGGAGTGAGATAGCTGTCAGGAGTATGGTGGTGGTCAGAGTTCAGCCTCAGAAGTTCCAGACGACTTGTCCACCCATGTTCCCATGTCACCCGTTCTCTAACCCTGGAAATCCATAATGGTTTGACTATCTGAGGAGAGGGTACTGAGGGTGTCATTCCCTTCCCCTCCCACCATCCCTCCTCACTGCAAGTCTGTTTGTGTCTCTGGCTCATTGGCTCATTGCCCAGGATGAACCGGAACCAGCCATCCGAAAGAGCTACCAGGCCGTGGAACGACATGGAGAGACAATCCGTGTTCGGGACACCGTCCTCCTCAAGTCAGGCCCGCGAAAGACATCCACACCTTATGTGGCCAAGATCTCTGCCCTCTGGGAGAACCCTGAGTCAGGTACTCCTCCATTAGGCTGGGGACTACAGGGTTGGCCACCTTTACCAGGACTATAAACCCCAGATCTGCTCGTCTTAGTTTGATATGGCATGAGTCTCCTCACATTCCTGGCACAGTGTATGCCATTCACTCAGCTGGGGTCTGTCTGCTGTCGAGGGCTGCAGACAACCTTGTGGCTTAGGTTGGAACAGTTCATTAACCTTTCCAACAACCAGGGCCTGGGCACCTGTCCCCTCACCTCACCTGTCAGTGCCCAACAGCATTCCAGGCCATTGAATGTCAGGCTTAGCCTGGGGCAGGGGACATGGGCAGCTGGAACCAATAGGGTTGGCCCAGGCCTTGGGGTTAGAACAGCCTTCAGGGCCTGTAGCCAGGCTGCCTGCCTATCTGAGTAATCCTGGGATTGCCAGCTCAAGCCATGACCACTTCTGTTGTCCCTCCAGGAGAGCTGATGATGAGTCTCCTGTGGTATTACAGACCTGAGCACTTACAGGGAGGCCGCAGTCCCAGCATGCACGAGGTGAGTTTCCTGGCACATGATCAGGGAGAGGAGGGGTGGCAAAGGGCAGTGGAAGTCAGAGGGAGTGATTGTGCCATGGGTAAAGAGCAGCCATGAGCGTTCAAGCCCCTGAGCTTGTCTTCTTGGACTCCAGAACTCAGGAGAAGGGCCTGGGTACTCTTTGTCTCCAGCTTCCTCAGGTTGTCCCAACTCTGTCCCAATTCATTTCAAAAGGACCAGTGACCTTTGTTTAAAAGGGAAGCAGAAAGGGAGCCCTTGAGGGCAGGAAGTGCCAGAAATGGGAGCAAGATATGTCCCCCTAGAGAAGGGAAGGGGAAGTGGAGCTTTTTTGACACTGTCTGTAGCATGGGGGGAGGGGAGAAAAGACTCCTCCTAACACCCCCTCCAGGCTCTCCACCTAGCTGTGTGCTGGGAGATGGGATCACTGTCTGTGTTGTACTCCTTCCAGCCCCTGTTCTGTACAAAGGGGTTGGCTGGTGGGTTTGAACTGTCCATCTTGGGGTTAGCAGTCCAGTGTTTATGCTGCAGGAGTCACAGTAGAGGGGTTAATGTTTGCTTTGTGGTGCTTTTTAACCCTGATAACTAACCTTCTCCCATCTCCTCTCGAGCCTTTGCAGAATGAAGTCTTTGCATCGAGACATCAGGACCAGAACAGTGTGGCCTGCATTGAGGAAAAGTGCTATGTGTTGACCTTTGCTGAGTACTGCAGGTGAGTGGTATCTGAACCCATAAGACTTCCCAGGCCTTTTGTGGGGCTGCCTGGGATGCCAGGGGGCTCTCACTCTGCTTTGGTACTTCCTGGACGTGAACCCCCCACACATTCTTCGAACGTTCCTCCACCATCTGTTTTTTATTTTTTAAGAAGAAATGTATGGTTGCTCCCCCTCCCCTAAGGCAGAGTAGTTGGGGCAGAGAGATATAGAGGTGGATGGAGGGAAGGGTGTTAAGTACGCTCTTAGAGAAAATGTAGGAGAATTGGCAGTTAATTGGGAGGGAGATCCAGGCAGGTGTGATTTTTTTCCAACAACAGAGAAGAGGAACTGTAATGACAGAGTGGGCACAGTCCCCAGGACTGTAGTGGGAGCAAGAGAGGACACCTCAGCACTTGGGCAGGGTGGGGAAGAAATTGTTATTCCAACAAAGATGGTTTTGGTAAAGACAGCACATGTTGTATTACTGCAGATTCTGTGCCATGGCCAAGCGCCGAGGTGAGGGCCTCCCTAGCCGAAAGACAGCACTGGTGCCCCCCTCCGCGGACTACTCCACCCCGCCACACCGCACTGTGCCCGAGGACACGGATCCTGAGCTGGTGTTTCTTTGCCGCCATGTCTATGACTTCCGTCATGGCCGCATCCTTAAGAACCCCCAGTAGCCTCCTCATGCCCAGGCTGGGGCTGCCCATGGGCAAGTGGGGCTCAGGGCAGGGGCACTGCTTGAAGCACAGCACTTGGTTAAGGGACCACAGGGGTCTGAGGTTGCTGGCCTGTGGTTCTCTTGTGGGGGGAGGGCAGGAGCCCCTACAGGTTTGGGGCCCCTTGGGGAGGGAAGGGGAGGCCAGGGCATAATAAAAACATCAGGAGTCTCGCTTGGCCCAGGGCACTGCTCTGGTCCCCTGGCTGGAGACCCCTGAACAAGTAGTCTTCTCCAAGGTGGCTGGGTCAAGCCTAAGGGTTATGGGGTCCTGCAGGGGAAACAAGCTCCTTCAGGAATTAGGCTCAGCAGGCCCTTCTGCAGCCTTCCTCCAGGACCCTCCTAGGGAGCCAGCTTTACCTCACCCACTGTGACCCGCTGCTTCCCCTTCAGCCTGGGACCAGGTCCTCCTGGACTTGGGCATAGTTCGGAGCTTGTTCCTTGAGGCATAGAGAGCCAGAGTCTGGCTTCCAGAGCATTGATTTCCTCTTTCTCGGCTTGGGCCTTTTCCTGGCTTCCCTCCCTTTCCCCTGTAGCAGCCCCTGGTGCTGGGACAAGTTGATCAGGCCCTCACAGTCTTGGGTATGACCCATTTGTCAGAGTCAGCCTCCTGCCCAATCTCCCCTGGAGAGCCACCTAGCAGGTCTGGCTTCCCAGAAGTTACCTGATTGACATGGGGTCTGGGAGGTCAGATGGGTGCTGGGAGGGAGTTGGGAGGGGGGTAGGGGGCAAGGAAAATTGCTACCTGATTGTTGAAGACTTTTCCTCTTGCCTTATATTTCGAGGTTCTAGGAAACCTCTTGCAGAACTTCACTCATGACTCTTCAAGCCACACCCACCTGAAATCAAACCAAAGGAGTGCTGTGGCTCCCTTTGCCCTGCCACCCATACCCTAGTCTTTTGTAGATTGCACTAATTTACATCCCAGCGAAAATCAACACTGTATCAGTCCACAGACCTGCTGAGCTGCAGCCACTCACTCTAGGAGCTTTTCAGTTTGTTCCTGTTGCCCAGGGGCCCTGTTCTCACCTCATATGGCTCCCCAGAATAGATTTGGAGTCTCAGCCCCAGTTATCTTTGCCTGGATCTGGTCCTGGGGCTCCTTGTGAGGGGGGCTGAAGAGATCTAATTATTTCCTATTTGTACCAAAGAGGAGCTTGGTTGGCAGAGTCAGTGCAGTGTGGCTTGGGCCTGGCCACTGGGAACCTGCTAGTAGAGAACTTCCCTTGGGGGCAGAAGTTGAGGAAGGCAGCGGTGGGCCCTGCTCCTCTGGGGAGGAGCCCTTGTAAACCCAGCAGGCTAAGGAGATAGCACTGGATGAAGACTTAGACAGTGGGCAGGGCCTGGAGAAGGAGGTGGAAATGAGTCTTGAGGGCACCCCAACCCCCCCCCAGGTCTTAGGTTGCCCACAAGAAGACAGGCTGCTCCAGATTTAGTTCATTGGGCTTGGATGAGGCCTGCAGGTGTCAGTGGTGAATTTGCGCTTGGGAAGCCCAATCCCAACCCTGAAGGGAAGGGACTTGGGTCCCCTCATATTGAGTAAGCTGTTTGAAGGAAGTTGTCAGTCTGGGAGGGTGGGGCCAGAAGAGGGTTGGCAGAGGGACAGTAGAGGCTCTACGGAGCTAGCCTTAGAGCCTGCTCACTTTCAGAGTGCCAACCCTTAAAGCCAAGGACCCCAGCCTGTCCCCACAGGAAAGGACATCCAGGCTCCTCCCCAGGAGGCAGAGTCTGCTGCCCAGAACTTAAATGCTTTTGAAATCTCTTAGATGTGGAAATATTTTTTTCAGACCTGAAAATGCAGCTGGTAGAACATCAATGGAAGCATAATCCATGTAAAATATATTTTAGTTGATCTTTTGTAAAATGCACTTTTTGTGTGTGTCGACCCTGGTTTCCCAGATCTGTATTTCAGTGTTTACAAGGGGGGGGGGGGTACCTTTCCTTACCTCCCTTTTGACAGAGATTAGAAGTACTTCTTTAAGAAAAAAATAAATTTGAGAAATTGTATTGATTTAGAAAAGGATCATTTCCTCTGTGTCCTGTCATCTTTTAGTGTGGATGTGAAGACTACTTTTTATTTTGGGAGTCCCATATAACCCTTGAAGTCCTGGGGTGGCACTGTAGGTTAAGCACTGGATTGCTAAACACAAGGTCAGCATTCAAACCTAACAGCCTCTTGGAAACCCTGATGGGTTGCTATAAGTTGGAACTGATTGAACTCAATGACACTTGACAACATGTAACCCTTGCAAAGCAAAGAGCAAGAAGGTGGAAAAGGAGAGCAGGGAGGAAAGACAGAAGGGGAATGTGGACTTCTTGGCACTGTGGCCAGGGTCACCTGTTTGGACATGTGTGAAATCCTTGGGTTGCCAGCTCTCACCTCACCTTGGAACTGGTCCCCTAGTTGATGTTTGGTGATGATACTGCCTCATCACATTGGGGCATGTCTTGGGCCTCTAATCTAACTCATATTTTGGTACGAACACCATATTTTGTTGTTGGGGCAGGTACCAATTCTATAGAGGCTGTTAGTGGCAGTTAGGGCACTATCAGTGGCCATGCTATAAAGCACTGACCCATTGACCTGTTACCCACAAGAGTCCCATGAGATGGATGATAGCCCATTCCCGTTTACAGACAGGAAGCTGGTGTAGAGATAAGTACCTTGCCCAGGGACTCCCCCAGAGTAAGTGGGTATTCCTGCACTTAGATTGACTCACTCTGGTTATTAACATACAGAACCACCCTTTTAACAGAAATGAGCACATGTGGCCAAATTATCAAAAACTTTTAAGGTTTTTTTCCTCTCCTAGTATGAAAGTGTTAGTGGTCATCAAGTTGACTCAGACTCATGGTGACCCAATGTATGCAGAGTAGAACTGCTCCATGGTTTTTTCCAGGGTGTGCTTTCAGAAGTAGATCTGTTTCATATCTGCCCCTTACCTGAAGCAGATCACCAGATTGGTCTTCCAAGGTGCTTCTAGGTGGGTTAGAAATGCCAACTTTTTGGCTAATAGGGTTTCCGAGGCTGTACATTTTAACTGGAGCAGAAAGTCTCCACTTTCTCTGGGAAGATGTTTTAAAATGCCATCGAGTGGGTTCTGACTCATGTTGTTAGGTGCCATGGAGTTGGTTCCACTGTACCCAACAGAACGAAACTACCAGGTCCTGCAATTGCTGCTATTGCTTTAATTCTGCTGCCACTTCCAAATCCATCTCTGTAGGAGTCTTCCTCTTTTTCACTGACCCTCCAGTTTACTAAACATGATGTCCTTCTTTAGGGGTTTTTGTTGGTTGTTGTGTGCGTGGACTCGGTTCCGACTTACAGTGACCCTGTATTGGGTTTTCAAGGCTGTAAATCTACAGGAGCAGAAAGCCTCATCTTTCTCCCGTGGAACTGACGGTAGTTTCGAACTGCTGACCGTGAGATTAGCAACCTGACTCGTAACCTCTACGCTACTAGAGCTCCTTATTAGGAGGGATTGGTCCCTCCTAAGAACATGTTAGATGTGTGAGATAAGTCTCATCGTTTTAGCTTTTAAATGAGATTCTGGATGTACATATTCCAACAGTTTCATTTATACTTCTTGCAGTCCATGGTACTTTTAATATTCTCCAACACCATAACTGAAATGTGCCAGTTTTTACATGCATATGAAGCTAGTAAAAATACCATGGTTTGGGTCAGGCACACCTTAGCCCTCAAACTGACATCTTTGCTTTTGAATAAAGAGGTCCTTTGCAGCAGACTCACTTAATGCATTTGATTCCTTGACATTAAGTGCTGTTGTCGAGCCGGTTCCAACCCATAGTGACCCTGTATAGGGTTTCAGGGAGCAGCTGGTGAGCTTGAAATAGGGGTGTTGCGCTGTGGGTTAATGTGCTAGACTGCAAATTCGGTTGAACCACAAGGTCAGCAGTTGTTCCTCGGAAACCCTATACTGGATCACTATGGGTTAGAACCGCCTCTATGGCACTTAACAACAACCACCACCATCTAGGGACTCCTAGCATAAGATTAGGGACAAAAATTGATTTATTAAATAGGAAGTAATTTCCACTGCTGGAAATCTACCTTTAATTAGTGCTATTGGATGCAAAAAGTGCAGGGAAGGCTACACCTTAATGTAAGCTTCTAAAGCTACAAATGGGCAATTGCATGCACCCTGCCTTCAAACAAGTGGGGCATCAGGAACCAGCTCTTGGGAGCTGAAGATGTCAGTTGATAGGTTGCTTTTGTCCTCCCCCCTTGCTCTAACCCTGTGTGCTTTCATACTGCTAGGACTGGGGAAAGGGGAGTATCCATGAGCTCTATAACTTCATTTTCTTTCCCTCAGAATCTCTCATCCTTTGAACTCATTGCATGGCAGCCCCATTCTCACACTAAACTCAAAAGCCTCTTGCATCCTCAACTCAGTTTTATCACCCTCTGTATAGCTTATCTGGAGTCAGCTGCTGCTTAATTGCTTAAGGATCATGATTAGAAATTTAGGTTCTAGAATCAGGCCAATCTGTAAAATGGGTAGTAGTTCCTACCTCCCAGTGTGCTGTGACAACTAAAGGGAAAGAGTGTAAAACATTGAACAAATGTTTGCTTCAGTGAATATGGCTCAGATCCATTCCTCACTGCTGTGCAGTGCCTCACTGACTCTCTACACTACAGGGTGAAGTGTGAATACGAGGGACCCTGTCCAGATCAGTAAACCCTCACCATTGATCTCCAAGGCACAGGCGGCCAGTTAGGACAGTTAGGCTGCTTGCTATTTTCTGCACGGTTCTGAGCCACCAGCACCTACACCTGTGTCCAGGAGCACTAGCTAGTCATTGGCCTCTCACTGGGAGTGTCCCAATGATCTCACCACTTCAGAGTTATGGGGAGGAGGATTGGAAGCAGGAGAGAGAGGATTCCAGTTCCAGATGGTTCGGCATTACCCAGTTGATAAGCACGGTATTCTGCCAGGTAGTTGAGCCCGAGTCGCCATGGCGATGAGCCATTGGTCCGTGTCTGACAGTCTAGTTTCACCCCACAGGATTGTTCACAAAGAGCACCCTTTCCTGAAGTGGTAGGACGTGTATGGTTTAGGCCAGTAGGGAAATATGGGGTGCTAGGGAGACCGTACTTCAGCTAGAAAGACTGGCCTCTTGAATGTTTGGACTCAGTGATGCGCTGTGACCCCTTGCCCTAGACCCACCCTTGGAAAATGTGCTCGGCCAGGCTTGAGCGTACAGCGGGGTGGTGGGTGCGGGTCCTCTCTAGCTCTAGGAGAACGCAGTGCGAGAGAAGGGACCTCGGCCTGGGTCTTCTCCGACTTCCAGTCGGCAGCTTTTGTTTCCGAAGCCCGAGGGTCTGCGGCGGCCCAGTCTCAGGCACTCTTCTCTGTAGTGGTGCCCGCCCCCTCTCCCCGCCCCCGGCCTGGACCCGCCCCAGCGCCTGTGTCACGACGGGGCCGGGGGCGGAGAGCAGCCGGGCGGGACATCCGGCCCGGGTCCCTCTCGCGCACCCGCCCGCCCGCCGTCTGCTCCAGTGCCGTGGCCTGGGATTCGGCCACCCTGAGTGCGCGGGGGCCGCCTGCCAACCCCTCCCATCCCCAGCTCCCTCCGGGCGTTCCGGGTCCGGACCCTCGGCTTTTACCCACAGCCTGAGTCCGCCTCTTAGGCAGCCTTCAGACCGGCAGGGCCGCGCAGGTCCCCGCCCGGGAGCATCATGTTCCCCCGCCCGCTGACCCCGCTGGCAACCCCAAATGGCGCCGAGCCCCTGGGCCGGACGTTAAGGCGGGCCCCACTGGGCAGGGCCCGGGCCGGGCTTGGGGGTCCGCCCCTGCTACTGCCGTCCATGCTGATGTTCGCGGTGATCGTGGCCTCCAGCGGGCTGCTGCTCATGATCGAACGAGGCATCCTGGCCGAGATGAAGCCCCTTCCCCTGCATCCTCCCAGCCGCGAAGGCGCGGTCTGGCGCAGGACGGCCCCCAGGCCTGGGGAGCTGGCTGTGGACGCGGGGGACTCGGATTTGCAGGTGCGGCAGGACGTCCGGAACCGTACGTTAAGGGCCGTGTGCGGACAGCCGGGAATGCCCCGGGACCCTTGGGACTTGCCGGTGGGACAGCGGCGCACCCTCCTGCGCCATATCCTCGTGAGTGACCGCTACCGCTTCCTCTACTGCTACGTACCCAAGGTGGCCTGCTCCAACTGGAAACGGGTTCTGAAGGTGCTGGCGGGTGTCCTAGACAGCGTGGACGTCCGCCTTAAGATGGACCACCGCAGTGATCTGGTGTTTCTGGCTGACCTGAGGCCTGAGGAAATCCGATACCGCCTTCAGCACTACTTCAAGTTCCTGTTTGTGCGAGACCCCTTGGAACGCCTCCTATCTGCTTACCGCAACAAGTTTGGCGAAATCCGAGAGTACCAACAGCGCTATGGGGCTGAGATTGTGAGGCGTTACAGGGCTGGAGCTGGACCTAGCCCTGCAGGAGACGATGTCACCTTCCCGGAGTTCCTGAGATACCTGGTGGATGAGGACCCTGAGCGCATGAACGAGCACTGGATGCCCGTATACCATCTGTGCCAACCTTGTGCAGTGCACTACGACTTTGTGGGCTCCTATGAGAGACTGGAGGCTGATGCCAACCAGGTGCTGGAGTTGGTGCGGGCTCCACCACAAGTCCGATTCCCCACCCGCCAGGCCTGGTACCGGCCAGCCAGTCCCGAGAGCCTGCATTATCACCTGTGCAGTGCCCCACGGGCTCTGCTGCAGGACGTGCTGCCTAAGTATATCCTGGACTTCTCCCTCTTTGCCTACCCACTGCCTAATGTCACCAGGGAGGCCTGTCATCAGTGATCATAGGTACAGGGCCAGCAGCTATTGGGGACCTGTTTCAACAGTGCCAGCTTCTTGTGCTGTGAAACCCCTAGCTCTGAGGTTTGGAGAAAGGCCCAGATGACAGTGCCTGACTGCTTTTTGAAGTTCCTTGCCCAGGGTGGGCGTGCACAGTGGCTCAGAGGACAGGGAGCCTAGTGCTTCCCATTGCAGTGGTGGGTCTGTGGAGGGCACTTGGAGGCTGGTGTGATTCTTCTTGCCTTGGCAAGGCCAGACACTAGGTTACCAACAAAGTATCACACCTGATCTAAAGACTGGCTCCAGGCTGCAGGGCTTGTGCAGTCTATCTGGTTCACCTTAATTTAACCTGTGTCGAGACCCAGAGGTGCCATGAATCAGCAGCACAATCAGATCTAGGAGCCCTGTGGCTTGATCTCCCCATTCATCCACCTCATGCTCCTTAGGGCTGGAGGCAGCACTAGTGCCTTAGAAATGTCTTTTCTGCCTTCTGCTCCAGACTCAGAATTTTCTTCACTTGCCAGGTTCTTTCCATTTTTCCAAGGAAAGGAAAACTGAGGCAAGGCTCTTGCCTGGTAGCTCTGGGAACAGGTCCTTCCTTCAGACATCCAAAGACCCCTGTGCCCAGCTCTTCCCAGGACTCTAGGAACCTTCTCTCTATCTCCCCTGCTCCCAAGGCCTTTAAGGTTATGACTGTGGCTGGTGTATATAGCTACCATTTTTCTGGTGCATTTATTTAAAATTTGTACTTTTTGATAGCATCTTTGTGAGGGCTTTGTTGTCTTAATAGCTTACTTTTAATAAAGCTGTTTTGTACAAAAAGTCAGCATCTCTGTGATTCTCCCTTTGGAGTTACTGAAGGCTCAGCCAGTCTTCCAGATGTTTGTCTCCCCAAGTCAAGAGACATACTTTACAGGCAGAAAGAATCTAAGGCAACGTGGAACTTGCCTGGGCCATCCCAAAGAGGCATTCCCACATCATGGAGCCTGTGAGGGCTTCCAGTAGGCCATACTGATCCCAGACTTCTGGGACTCCACCAAAGGGCAGATCCCATTAAGAATGGTTCCAGGTCCATAGCACACCTACACAGATTACTCCTTTAAGGCAGGGTTGGATCTGAGACTCCTCCTCCTCTTAGGCAAGAATATTTCTTAAGTGAGGAGGCCCTCAGTACATTTTCAAATGAAAAAGGGATCTTTGTACAATTGACCAAGGGGAGGCTATTCCTGAAGAAGGTTGAATGATGGGCAGGCAGGTTCTTGCTAACATGGGTTCAGAGTGCTGGTGATGTGGGAGGAAAATGGTTGGGGCAGTAAAAAACAGGCCTCACTGCTCGTCAGAGATCCCAACCTTCCCAACGTGCAGAGAACAGGAGCTCTGACCTACCATGTCCCTGAGCTTGCTCTTTCTTGTTAGTCTGGTTTATATACCCACAGTGATAACTTCAGTACTTTAAGGACCTAAGACTGTGGTGAAGAGGTAGAATGCAGGAGAGTGAGGACAGAAGGTAGAGAGAACTTCTCTTGCAGGTACCACCGTTATCTCACCTTGCTATTGACGTGACTTTAGGGAGGAAAACTAATCCTGTTCCCTAAATGGTGGTGGGGTGCTTCTAAGACTCCCATGGCTTACCACCATGACTCTCCAGGAGGCTTTCAGTGATGTCCCTTGTGGGTACCATGCCCCTCTTCAGGGTTCCCTTGACACCGAGTCAGAAAGCACTTCCCATTCTCTATTGGAACAGGGCAGTTAGTTACCAGTCTCCCCCACTGGGATTGTGAGTTATGTGACATTAGGACTATGTCTGTCTTTTTCACTAGACATTCCCAGCACCTAGCCTACATGTCTGGCACACAGTAGGCATGGTGACGGTCACACAGTTCCAAGTTCCAAGATGTGTGTCTCCCTAAAAGACATAGAGCACTGCACTTGGAGGCACTCAGAATGATCAAGTCTCAGTCCTATTCCTTACCAGCTACCTGACCACCTCGCTGAGCCAGCCAGTCCCTCCTCTGAGCTATAGGTCCTCAGAAACTCAAAATGAACCCCAATCCCTGGCTTCTTCCTCCTTGCCTGGAACTGTCTCTCTAGATCTAAGCAGCTCATCAGTCCTCCTCATGAAGTTCTACTACCTGGAGCACAGAGAAGCCAGAATATGCGGGTCCAGCTGTTATATTTACCTATTCTCATTTAATCCTCATAATTGCTGGTGCCATAGGTGTATCCTAGTTTACAAACTTGGAAACTGGCACAGAGAGGCTAAGTTGCCCACCCAAAGACCAGTCAAGCTCTCTCAGCTTCCCAGATAGATAAGAGAAAAGAAGAAAGGGAAGGGGGTTTGGCTTATTGACAGGGGAATACAGAAAAGAGGGAATAGGAAACCTTGAAGGATAAACAAGATTGAATTTAGGGGCATTTGGACATATTTGCAAGGAGCCATAGTGGTTCTGTGGGTTAGTCAGTAATTCAAACTCACCAGCTGCCTAGGGAGAAAGATGAGGTTGAAGGCCTAAGTAGCAGTTCTACTCTGTCCTACAGGGTCACTTTGAGCCAGAATCAACTCAACAACATGGATTTTTCATTCATATTTTCTCTCCTCAATTCTTTCTTTCCTTTTATTAATTCACTGACATTCACCAGTCCCTGTCTTAAGGAGTGGGAGACTAATGAAGTCCCTTGATAAGGAGTTTGCTGACTGCTCTCCTCCTGGGGCACAAAGCATCCTGACAGCCAGCACTGGACACCTGTGGTGTGGGGGGAAGGGGGAAGAATGGAGGCCAGAAGGAGAACAACTGCTAAGACAGACTGCTTCCTGAGTTATTTTAATCCTGAGATCAGCCTTTGAGGATCTTTATGTGTCATCTCCCCTCCCCTCAAGGTAGCAGAGAGTGTGGTGTCCACTTAGCTCTAGTGAGAACACTCAGGCATGATCTAGGGACAGCAGAGGCTCTGGCCACCAGAGGCAGTGACATACTTGGGTCTGGACACCTGGACTGTGTCTTCTTGGAATTCCTCCTCGTCACTGAAGATGCTCTGATCCCCACACCAAGCTGAGCTTTGCACAATTACCTGGTCCCTAAAAGGACAGGGTCGTCTTTAGAACTCACTCTGAGAGTGATGAACCAAGAGGTCAGGGCTTCCAGGTCTGGGCCCGGACACTCCTCCCAGCCTCCAGGTCCATTTCTCATCCTGTCTGAAGTTACTGTTCAGAAACCACCCCCCACCCCTTAAATTCTGAGGATGTTTTCCCTCCCTTTCCCTCATCTACCTTTTCTCCCTCCCCTAGTAGGATCTCACCACCCAGGCCCTCTGCAGTAAGCAAAAAGGGTAGAGTGGTGCAGTTGGTCCACTCACCCTGGGTGAACACAGAACCCTCACTTTTCCCAGTGGCCTATCATCAGAGGGAGCCGGAGTCAGGCCTCCAGGGTTCCTCCTAGAATGGATCCAATGCCTTTTTTTTTATTATTGTGAATTATGTGATACTTTACATGAGAGAACATTACCTTTACATTCATCCTATCATTGCCATGGTTACAATCCCCTCCATGCATCATCAACAAACCAAAGGGCATACCCTACACACCTGCCCCTCAGTCCTCAGCACACAGCCCCTCTCCCTCTCTGGATCTCAAGTCCCCAGCTGCTCCATCTCTCCATGTCATCGTCTCTGCCTCCATCTCAGGCATCACTGTTTCTCTGGGTAGGGTCCCACTCTCCGCTCTTCTCCCTTCATGGTCCCAAGGACCTTGGCTCCTAGACTGCAAAGTTAATCACTCCCCTCCTTGCTACAAAACATCTACCTTTACATTTCCAACCCTCACAAACAGTACTGGTAACAATTATTCACTATTGTACCACGAGAGACCTATCTGCATTTCCTTTCATCAGGCCCACATACACAGATTGGATACAACTCAGTGGAGATTCTACATTCCTCCATGCCCTCTGGATCTAGGTTCCCTCTTGAAAGCTTATAAGCCAGTCACTTCTTGCATTTGTAGCCCCCCCATTTTGGGTAGCCATCTGATGCCTTTTGTACTGAATCAGAATCTGCTTGATTTCAAGCAGAAGGAAGGCATTCTTTCTTTTCCCAAAGGGAAATGCTAATAATTAATAATTCTGAAGGAGGTGGAGTGAGGGCAGATTCTTGCTGACATAGGTTCAGAGGAAGAAGCTGGTGATGTGGGAGGAAAAATGGTTGGGGCAGTAGAAAACAGGTCTCAGTATAGTGGGTTTCCTCACTCCTCTCCAGAGATCTCAGCCTTTCTTTGTGGGGTGCAAAGAACAGGAGCCAGGGCCTACCATGCCTCTGAGCTTGTTCCTCCTTGTTAGTCTGGTGTATACACCCTCGGTTGGAACCTTAGTATTTTAAGGACACAAGGCTGTGGTGAAGAGGTAGAACTCAGGGAAGTATAGAAGGAAGGTGGGGAGGACTACCTTTACAGGAGCCACTTATATCTCTGAATTTAAAGAAACCCTGGTAGAGTGGTGTGTTACAAATTGGACTGCTAACCACAAGGTCAGAAGTTCGAATGTACCAGCCACTCTGTGGGTGAAAAGATGAGGCTATCTGCTTTTGTAAAGATGTACAGCTTCGGAAACCCTATACAAGACCACTATGAGTTAAAACGGCCTCAATGGCACACGACCACCACTCTGAATTAGGAGCATGCTCTGTGCCAGGTACTGTGATTAGTATTTTACATGCATTATCCTTTTCATTCTTACAAGCCAGCAAGGTAGGTGTGAAAATGACATGGGAGCAGCATCTAATATTCTCTTAGCTTCACAAGGAGGAACAAGGACTATCACCCACAGCATCAGCCCAAGGCTGATTTCTATGAGATGACGGTCAGCCGTACCTCCACCCTCCAACCTTTTTACCAATTCTCACACCAGCCATCTCTTCCACAGCCCTCTCTACTTCTCTGTTGGTTCAATAATACATTGCAGTGACCACAAAGAACTCACAGGCAATACTCAGAATTATGGAATTTCTTAGG